CAGCAGGAGAACCCCAAACGAGGGGGAGCAAAGCCCTGACTCCTCATCACAGGGAAGGGCCGTGTCCCCAGACAGCTCGTCCTGCAGGAGAAAACGCATTCCTCCCTCTCATGTCTTCATCTACTCACAAAGAGAAACACAGCCGCAATTCTCACCTTAACCGAAATTCTCTTGGTCAGCATTGGGTTTTAAAATCAACTCTCTGACTCCCCAGAAAAATGGAGTTAATGCTGCAGAATTGAGATTTTGTCATCTCTGGGATCTCACACATCAACAGACAGTGAATTAAACGCAGCACTGGCCTGCACGGTGTCGGTCACCAGCAGGTCTGTCAGTAGCAACAGAGCAGCTCAGAAGTCAGGTTTTCTTTTTTTTTTTTTTTTTTGTCTTTTGTCTTTTTTCCTGACCGGTAACGGGATCGCAACCCTCGGTGTCGCACCCCGTACCGTGACCGGCAACGAGATCGCAACCCCCGGTGTTGCGCCCGCACCACGCTCAGCCAGCGAGCGGGGACTGGTCTCCACATGGGACCCGAACCCTCGGCGGGAGCGCTCCGCGCTCCCAAGCGGCGCACTCTCCAGTGCGCCACCCACCGGGCCGGCCCAAGAAGTCAGGTTTTCTCTTTCCCACCAAACCTCCTCGCAAAACAGAAGTCCTCACTGCGTCCCCTCCAGGGGTTTCCAGACACTGTCCAGGACTGAGAAGGATCCAGCTCCTGGGGGAGGTGTGGAGCTCTGGGCCCTGGAGCTGCCAGGAGAACTCCCGCGCTGGCCGGGACTGACCCCAGGGCCAGGAGGGCAGGATGCGCAGCCACATGGCCTCTTCCGTTCACCCAGTGCTTTGCCCCCAGACCTGTGGCCTGAAGGGTGGTGACAGGACAGAGGAGGGGGTGCCACAAGAGACTTAAAGACCCCCCACTCCTTGCTCAATCCCTCCCAGGCCCACTCCCCACCTTTCTATTTCCATCCTTTGTCATCCCGTCTCCTTCCCTCTCCATCTCTCTCTGTCTCTGTCTCTATCTCTGTTTCTGTCCCTATCTCTGTTTCTGTCCCTATCTCTGTCTCTCTCTGTCTCTGTCTGTCTGTCTGTCTCTATCTCTCTCTGTCTCTATTTCTGTCTCTGTCCCTATCTCTGTCTCTCTCTCTATCTCTCTGTCTCTGTCTCTCTCTATCTCTCTCTGTCTCTCTCTCTGTCTCTGTCTCTCTCTGTCTCTGTCTCTCTGTACCTCTCTCTGTCTCTTTGTCTCTGTCTCTGTCTCTCTCTCTCTGCCTCAGTCTCCCTTCTCCTTTCTCCTGCCTCCTCCTCCTCCCTGGCCGTGCCATCTCCAGCTCCTCTCATGCTCCCTCAGCTAACGCCTTCCAGCCTCTATCCTCACATCACCCAGCAAGAGTGCCCACCCCCCATGCCCCGCACTGAGCGGCAGGAAGTCATGTTCTGGCGCCATCTGCTTCCACGATGTGCTCTGACCTGCAAGGGGCCATTGATCACGTGATCTGCGTGGTGTCAGCCACAGTGAGATGCTCGTGACGGCCCTGATGGGCAATACTTGTTGCATGTGAGGATGGGGAGGAGGGGCAGTGGTGGCCATGAAGATGACACTAGCTCAGGCCTGGGTCTAGCAAGCACAACCGGAATCAAAACACATCCTCGGGCATGGAGCACTGTGCACCTGCCACAGTCAGACCCTGAGCACCAGTTAAGGACATCAGCATAGAGGCTCAAGCTGCTCAGGACGAAGCCACATTTGCCACTTTGAGCACTAACGATTCAAGACCATAAGTACCTGTAACACGCACTGTCTGCACAGAGGCTTCGCAGAGACCATCTGATAACATACATGCTCATCTGTTTTCTATCCCATACAAAACAAATTAAACCTAAGGCTTAAATAGCATTCCAGATAAAGGACCCTTCATACACAAAACAGAAGAAGCCTCCTAACTTGACGAGTTAGTGACACTGCAGGCTCTGGGGAGGGCGGGGTCTGAGGACATGAAACGAAGAAGTCACAGTCCATAAAATGGGGGAGGACACGCTCGATTATGAAAACCACGTGGTTCACGGGGCCCCGGTAGGCAGCGTGCCAGAGCCAGCTTGGTCCTTGAGAAACGAAGTTTGCAGGCAATTGTGGAAGTTGAGTGACAGTCAATTTTAATAATTAAATTATATAAACTTGTAACTAAATAAATTACATTAAAACAAAGGTAACAAACACTCAAAACTCACCACTTCCAAATTATTTTGCTATTATCTGTGCTCTTGAAATTATTCCCACCTCTTGTATCTGTGTGGTGGAAATATTGCAATGGTGTGCTACTTCCAAATCGCTTCATCTGCTCCCAAATCTGTGCTCAGCGACCTCACGCTGGTGGTTTAAAACTGGTCGCAGTATTTATACCACGAGAAGTGGCAAAAGCTACAAGTGCATGCATTTTTTTGTTTGTTTTTTGTGGGGTTTTTTTTTTTTTTTTGAGAGCCAGTTGGTCCCATGCACCAGTTAACACAAGCATCACACAAGAGACATGTGCAGCTGACACATATCTAGAAACAAGTCAGAGGCTGCTGTGCCAGTGCTCAGGAGACTTGTTCCTCCTTAGAATTCATCCCTCCCACCAAACTCTGAGCGTGTGGTCAGGGACCATATCTTATTCTGCGAAATGTATTCAGTGTCTGGCACACGTGGCGCCTCCATGTAATAGGCACCACGGATATTTATGGGAGAAACAGGTGGACAGAGGGACAGAAGGTGGGGGGATGCATCTATGAGAGGCTGCATCACAGCGTGAGGTGATGATGGGTTTAAATGCCCCACAGCCTGTGTCTGCAACCCCGCACTGAGCTGAGAGGGAGTGTGTAGCTGGGTGGACATGCTAGCACAGCGCTGTCGCATGCTCAGCCTG